CCTATCTCTGACACTCAACTCTTTCTTCCTACTGTCTACTGAATATGTAAACTGGTTGGTGTAAGTGATTTCAATGTCTGGGTAATATTGGTCAATCTATGGCTGTTTGCTTTAGCTTGAGTTCTCCTATGGCTTCTGGGTTGTGCTGATGAATATAATTTTTTTGGGGAATCTGGGTATGCTATGTGAGAGTTGTTGAAGGCCCAGACAATGCTGGGTATTTCTTTTTGGGCCCGCTGTGGCCTACTGTCATTGCTTGTATAATATTTTGTAATTACGTTTATCATTGGGTCTGTAATAACTCTATAATGAACAATTGGGGTGATAGTGAAACTGGGGAACGGGTATACTCTGATATTTGCATGCAAGGGTAGAAAATATGCCCATAGGATTCATGTGATTTACTTGTTATCCGACGTGCTGTATATGCCAGTTAACTTCCACTAGTAGAAATCATGCCTTTAGGAAACTCACACACTCACATAACTTGTCCACCATCAAAGCATGGGTGTAAACCCTCTATTTATTCTACTGCTATGTGCTACTAGACAACATACAGGAAATAAATGCCAGTGAACTTTCTTTCGATATGTATGGTTATAACATATTCATTAGATACCCTGCCTATAGGATCTCACTAGCTTATGGTCTATTTTCACCTAGAAATCATGCCTATATGACCTTGACTAATCAATTAGCTATTGTTATGTTATTGCTCTGCCTAGATAACCTGCTCATAGAGGTAAAGTGTTATAAAATCAAGGTCCGATTATCAATTGTTAGAGCTCTTGCCTATAGGATACTGTCATTCGTTTAATATTTTTTATCCCCTTGTCAAGGATGGGTTCCCAGAACTATTTTCATTTGCTTAACTATGCCACTATTAGATATAATGTCTGTAGAACAATTTCACCTTTCTAAAACTGGTATCTAAAACCAGCGTTAACAGCAAATGATTTACTGCTTCCTCATCTAAGCCACTAGAAGCAGTAATGTCATATATGCACATTTGAACTCAAGGTCACATAGAAACCATGTCTATAGGGCTTAATGATTTCTAATTGGCTTCAGTTCTAAAGTTGTCCAATGCTCAATGTAAGAACTTATTTTACGTGCATTTGTTGTCTAAGTGTGGAGGCTAACTTGAGCCTTAACTGCCCATATTTAAAGTCCAATATGTGTTTTGTATGTCGCCTAGTTTTGACATTTCTGAGCCACCTAAGTAAGTTCTAGAACCACCCTAGTAGAGGTCCAATACCTCCTGGACCATAGGAATGGGACGGGTAGTGCACGCATAGAGCACGACTTAGAATTGAACTAGAGCGCTTCAGGTAAACAACTTTAACATAGTAATCGGGTAGCAGGAGATGATAGTCTGTGCCCGCTGAATAATATGAGTAACTCCCTATATCAAGGGAGTTGCGAAGTATTATTTATGTTGCAAGAGGTGATCCTTTAGGTTAAAAAACTTAGGACCCCCTCCCCCTCTTTTATATGTTGTTATTAGATCCAAATAGTTGTATCCCTATATACGTACTAAGATCTGTACTAATCATGTTGTAATGAAATTCTTTGACCTTTATATTCGCTTTATTTATTTGATCACTTAGCCTAATTGTAATCCACCTAATATTAAGTTCGGCCGTGACCCACAGTTGTGGACCTCAAAGAGTGCCTAACACCTTCTCTTTGAGGTAATTTGAGCCCTTACCCGATCTTTGGTGACATTGACTAGTCAAACAGAGTTAGTTGCATAATAGGGGCCCTAACGCACCTTAAAAACTGTTAGGTGGCGATTCTTCTTCTTTTAACACTCTATCTCCCATCCAAAAGAGTTATCTCACGTCGAGACCCGCTTTTGCGAGAAAAAGGGGGCGCGACAGTACGACGACTCTGCTGGGCATATACTTAGGCTCTTACCATAATGAACTTGACTTACGTGGATTACTTTCTTTATTACATGCACTTCCCTTCTTCACCTTTATGTGTTTAAATTTGCTATTGCATACATATCCCTTCCCCTTATTCACCTTTACTTGCTATGACCGCTATTTTACCTTGTCAAAATCTCTATATCATGCCTACTTCCTTACCTGCTTTATTACATTCCCGCATATATTTTTATGAACTAAACTAACTCCTTCCTTTAGTCTTTCTTCTATATTCTTTCCATGTTTACCTTTGCTATATTATTTACTTCTTTTACATATCATGTAAATACTTGACAATATGTTATTATTGATGCATAAAGCATGCTCCACATCATACTCCACTCGTGCCAACTATCATCATAGCGGCACTTGATGAGTATCTGCGCTCTTCCAAAAATTACCCTTTTAAATCGGAAAGGCTTATTTGCGGTAGACTAGTCAATCAACGGTGCAATCAACGGTCCCGTGTCTTTCTCTCTCAAGTTGTCCACTTGGGAGTACCAATCTAGACTATTCTAGAAACCCTACTCCAACTCGAAATGTACATGCATCATGCTAAACCTAGTACGGGTTGAAGCGTTATCAACATAATAACCCGCTAAGATGAACCTAGTCCAAAGTCCGACGAGATTTTCACAATTCCAATGGACGCTATCATACTATGTGCATTACTTGGAGAAAAATATGCCAACGTATTGATCATTATTGCGTAAACATTTTTGAAATTAATGAAATGACGCAAATGTTAGCATAAATTTTCTCCAAGTCTACGTGTCGCTTAGGCCTACCTCGGGCACAATGAGGTCCCCAAATTAGGACGCGAATTATTGCATGACTTTGTGAAACATGTTTTAATATCGCAAACACTCTTTTAATATTCCTTACTAATTTGGTTACCTTTTGCTTTTTCTTTTTTTGATTATTCCCATTCCCAAAGGTTGGTTCATGCATACTGGCATCTTCTCAAGAACTAGACCGCTGCACCATCTAGGCCCGTCGAGTTCCTGGGTAGCCTGGTAAATTAGCATGAATTAATTTAAAAAATAGTTTTGAGCATTTGAGACATTTTTCAGTATTCTGTTTTGAAATAATTGCTCGATCCATCAAGCCGCATTTGTTGACATTTTTAATATTTTCTTTTTTATGCATTAGTGCTTTTTGTAATTATTATTATTTTTATATTTTGCTTTTCCGCATTATTATTATCTATCCCGATGAACCTACGACTGTGACATGTAATGAGATAACATGACATATGGATAATGATTCAGAGGATCTAGAAGATGACGTAATACCTGAGGAAATTGTCAGAGAAGTGGAAAATTTTGAAAATAAGTCAAAGCCTAATTTGGACAAAACTAAAGCTGTTAACTTAGGGGACTCCGAACTGGTCAAGGAAACACGCATAAGCATTCATCTATCATCGTCAGAGAAAGAAGAGTACATCAGATTCCTAAAAGAATATGAAGATATCTTTGCATGGTCCTACGATGATATGATTGGTTTGAGCATATCCATAGTGGCTCACAAGCTACCTACCAATCCCATGTGTCCACCGGTACAACAGAAGCTCAGAAAATTCAAGCAAGATATGAGTTTGAAAATAAAAGAGGAAGTCACTAAGAAAATCAAAGCCAAGGTTCTCAGAGTGGTTGAGTATCCGACTTGGTTGGCCAACATCGTGCCATTCCCGAAGAAAGACGGGAAGGTCAGAGTGTGTGTCGATTATCGGGATTTAAATAGAGCGAGTCCCAAAGATGATTTCTCATTGCCCAATATACACATACTGATCGACAACTGTGCCAAGCATGAACTCCAGTATTTTGTGGATTGCTTCGCGGGTTATCATCAGATCTGGATGGATGAAGAGGATGCTGAAAAGACAGCCTTTATCACACCATGGGGGAGGTACTGCTATAAAATGATGTCGTTTGGCCTGAAGAATGCTGGAGCCACTTACATGAGAGCCATGACAACCATTTTCCATAACATGATACACAAGGAAATAGAGATGTACATGGATGATGTCATCATCAAATCCAGAAGAAGCATAGATCATATAGCAGACTTTAGGAAATTCTTTGATCGACTTTGAAGGTACAATCTGAAACTGAATCCTGCAAAGTGTGCCTTCGGAGTCCCTGCCGAAAAATTGCTAGGATTCATCGCCAGTCGTCGAGAGATTGAATTGGACCCGTCAAAGAACAAAGCTACCCAGGACTTGACACCGCTGAAGAATAAGAAAGATGTGATGAGCTTCTTAGGGTGTCTCAACTACATCAGCTGTTTCATAGCATAATCAACCGTAATATGTGAGCCAATCTTCAAAATGCTGAAGAAAGATGCTGCAACAAGCTGGACTGAAGAATGCTAGAAAGCTATCAAGGAGTATTTATCTAAACCGCTTGTTCTGGTCCCACCAGAGCCAGTAAGACCACTGCTGCTTTATTTGTCTGTACTGGATGGAGCTTTCGGTTGCGTTTTGGGACAACATGATGAAACTGGAAGAAAGGAACAGGCAATATATTATTTGAGCAAGAAATTCACACCTTACGAAACCCGGTACTCTTTACTGGAGCGCACCTGCTGCGCTTTAACATGGATAGCTCAAACGTTGAGGCATTATTTCTGTGCATACACCACATATCTCATATCAAGGATGGATCCACTAAAATACATCTTCCAGAAATCCATGTCTACAAAAAAGTTAGCAAAATGGTAGATATTGCTGATGAATTCGACATCATCTATGTAACTCAGAAGGCAGTAAAAGGGCAAGCATTGGCAGATCATTTGGCAGAAAATCCTGTGGACGGAGAATACGAACCATTGAAAACATATTTTCTCGACGAAGAGGTGTCATTCGTAGGAGAAGATATCATCGAAGCATATGATGGTTGGAGAATGTTCTTCGTCGGAGCTACAAACTTCAAAGGAGTGGGTATCAGAGCTGTCTTAGTATCAGAAATTGGCCAACACTATCCGATATCTGCAAAACTCAGGTTTCCATGTACCAACAATATGGCAGAATATGAGGCTTGCATCTTGGGACTCAGGTTAGCCATTGACATGAATGTTCAGGAGTTGCTGGTGATTGGAGATTCCGATCTTTTGGTGCATCAGGTTTTAGGAGAATGGGCTACCAAGAACACCAAAATATTACCATATCTGTACTGTGTACAAGAGCTAATCAAGAGGTTCACAAAGAAAGAGTTTAAACATGTTCCGAGGATTCAATATGAGTTCGCAAATGCATTGGCCACTTTGTCTTCCATGATACAATACACATACAAGAACTTCATCGATCCTATCCCAATAGAAATTCATAAAGAACCGGCTTATTGTGCTTATGTTGAAGAAGAAAGTGACGGGAATCCTTGGTTCCACGATATAAAAGAATACTTGGCAAAGGGAGAGTATCCAGAACATGCAACTCATACTCAGAAGCGTACACTTCGAAGGTTAGCCAACCATTGCTTTCAAAGCGGAGGAATTCTGTACAGAAGGACTCCAGACCTGGGATTATTACGGTGTGTCGACACCAAAGAAGCATCCATATTGCTCGAGGAAATACATGCGGGAACCTATAGACCACACATGAATGGCTTTGTCTTAGCCAAGAAAATACTAAGAGCGGGATATTTCTGGATGACTATGGAAATAAACTGCATCAAGTATGTCCATACGTGTCACCAGTGCCAGATACATGCTGATATGATACGAGTGCCACCCAATGAACTCAATGCAACAAGTGCACCCTGACCTTTTGCCACCCAATGAACTCAATGCAACAAGTGCACCCTGACCTTTCTCTGCTTGGGGCATGGATGGCATCGGTCCAAATGAACCCGCTGCTTCAAATGGGCATAGGTTCATTCTAGTGGCCATAGATTATTTCATAAAGTGGGTTGAGGCCGCATCTTACAAATCTCTAACTAAGAAGGTCGTCGCAGATTATGTTCGAGATCGCATTGTTTGTCGGTTTGGAGTACCAGAGTCAATCATCACCAACAATGCCGCCAATCTCAACAGTGATTTAATGAAGGTCATGTGTGAAACTTTGAAGATCAAGCATAAGAACTCCACATCATACAGGCCGCAGATGATTGGAGCTGTAGAAGACGCCAACAAAAACATCAAGAAAATACTAAGGAAAATGGTAGACAATTACAAACAATGGCACGAGAAGCTACCCTTTGCTCTGCTCGGGTATCGTACCACGGTTCGCATATTAATTGGGGCAACTCCTTACCTACTGGTCTACGGTACGGAAGCGGTTATCCCTGCCAAAGTAGAAATCCCTTCTCTAAGAATCATACAAGAAGCTGAGCTTAGCGACACAGAATGGGTACAATGCCGATATGAACAACTGACTCTCATCGATGGAAAAAGAATGAATACGGTATGTCACGGTCAACTCTACCAGAATAGAATGGCAAGATCTTTCAATAAAAAGGTCAGACCAAGACAATTCACACCGGGGCAATTAGTGCTAAAGCGGATCTTCCCACATTAGGACGAAGCCATGGGGAAGTTCTCACCCAACTAGCAAGGTCCCTACATGGTTCATCGAGTACTAACAGGAGGAGAACTCATACTTGCAGAAATGGATGAAGAGATTTGGCCAAAACCTATCAAATCAGACGCAGTCAAGAGATACTATGTTTAGGATTGTTTACATTTATTCATTTGATGTAACTGAAGTACACTTGACCTGATTCCCATTTAAGAGGGGATACGTAGGCAGGCCTGTGGGTTCGGTCACATTTTAATAAAATCTTAGCTTTGCCATGATCAGAAACGAAGGCAGAAATTTGAGGACCCTCAAAATTCTAAAGCAAGTCTAGCCAACTTTGTCATATGCAAAATAGCCAAAGTATTGTCAGAAGTATTGCATTTAAACTAGGGCAGAATTTTGAGGGGGACCCTCAGGGAGGTCGCAATGTCTCTAAAATATGTCACAGTCACCGGTTCATCTAAATTACTTGATATCGCATACTACTACATTTCAAATAACTATATTTATCAAATGCATGCATATTTTTTTGAAAACTTTATTTCTATGACAGCCAGATGTTACCTAGGGTAACTCAAATAGGATCTCAAGGCAGGAGCAAAGATAGAGCAAGAAAATGAAAGCACGAACCAACCTTCCCCACAGAACTCACAATTTTTCTTTGGATGCAGGCACGATAAAACAACATTATCCGCAGATACATGAAGTCACTAGCTTCATGGCGACAAATTACCTAGTGCAGATACCTCCAGCCAAGAAATACTTTACTTTCTCACCTCTTTCTCATCATTTGCATGAGGTTAAGCTCTACCTCCTCTTCTTGCATGAGGCTAAGCATTGCCTCCCTAATTGCATAAGGCTAAGCATTACCTTTCTTTGTATGAGACTAAGCATTGTCTCTTCTTCTTGCATGATGCTAAGAATTGCCTCCCTAATTACATAAGGCTAAGCACTGCCTTTCCCCGCATGAGACTAAGCTCTACCTCCTCTTCTTGCATGAGGCTAAGAATTGCCTCCCTAATTGCATAAGGCTAAGCATTACCTTTCTTTGTATGAGACTAAGCATTGTCTCTTCTTCTTGCATGAGGCTAAGCATTGCCTCCCTAATCGCATAAGGATAAGCATTGCCTTTCCCTGCATGAGACTAAGCATTGTCTCCTCTTTGCATGAGGCTAAACATTGCCTCCCTAATTGCATAAGGCTAAGCATTACCTTTCTTTGTATGAGACTAAGCATTGTCTCTTCTTCTTGCATGAGGCTAAGCATTGCCTCCCTAATCGCATAAGGATAAGCATTGCCTTTCCCTGCATGAGACTAAGCATTGTCTCCTCTTTGCATGAGGCTAAACATTGCCTCCCTAATTGCATAAGGCTAAGCACTACCTTTCTTCTCATTGAGACCGAACATTGCCTCCCTAATTGCATAAGGCTAAGCACTGCCTTTTCCTCGCATAAGATTAAATACTATCTCTATTACACTATCTAAGACCTAGCACTATCCTCTACTCACCTAGGACTAAGCACTATCCTGCCGATAAGGACGACCCCTGCTGTGGTGGGACTGACTAGAAGAAACACCACTGAAACCACCCAAATCACAAGGCCCCTTGGCCTCCCTCTCCTCACGCTCCTCACTACGGACCCTCTCTATCCACCGAGCAATATCAACCACCTCGTCAAACCTAGTACCCGATGTAATCTCTCGAGTCATAACAAAGCGCAATCCATAGTTGAGGCCATCGATGAACCTCCTAGTCCTCTCCCTCTATTTGGGAACAAACCAGATCGCGTGATGAGCCAACTCTAAAAATTTCATCTCGTACTGGGTCACAGACATACCCTCTTAGCGTAGCTACTCAAACTGCCTAAGCAACTCCTCCCTGCAGGTCGGTGGTACTAAGTTCTCCAAGAAGAGAATGGAGAACTCGTGCCATATAAGTGGTGCATCATCGGCTGGCCTGCTCCGCTCATAGGCCTCTAACCATCTGAAGGCTGCCCCCGATAGCTGAAAAGTAGTAAATGAGATCCCACTAGTCTCCAGAATACCCATCATGCGAAGAATCCGTGAGCACCTAGCCAAGAAGTCCTGAGCATTCTCTGACTCATCCCCACTGAATAATGAAGGCTTGATCCTCCTAAACATCTCTAGTCGATTCTGCTCCTCGTCACTCAAATGGAAACCCACATGGGCCTGAGCAACTGTAATCGGATGGGCTGGTTGTACCCTCGATATCTGAAGTCCCTGCACCACCTGCTCTGGAGTACGGGTGTTGGGAGTCTGAGTACCTCTTCAGGCCTGAGAAGTGGCTGGTGCGGTCGGAACTGAAACTGCCTGAGCAAGGCTAGTGCATACAGTCAATTTTGGGCTAGAGCCTCCTAAAGGCCTGGAATCACAATGGGCACAGCTGGTGCCTGATCTGGTCCCACCGGCTCAACCACATATGGAATCTGCTCCTGAGCTGGAGCAATTTATGGGTCTATAGGTGCTGCTATAGCTGTTGTACGAGCTCTACCGCGACCCCTGCCTCTCATGGCCCTAGCTGGTGGTACTGGTGCCTGCCCGTCCGATCCAGTAGCTCGTGTCCTCGCTATCTGTGAGAGAATATAATAATAGAAGTTTAGTTTCCGGAGTAAAAATATTCGCATGATAAGAATACAAGAAGGTGGAGTTTTTCCTAAGGGTTCGGCAGCTTCTCGAAGATAAGTACAGACATCTCCATACCGATCTGCAAAACTTTACTAAACCTACTCATCACTCATGAGACCTACGTAACCTAGGCTCTAATACCAACTTGTCACAATCCAAGACACAATATGTCGTGATGGCACCTATCATAGTACTAGGCAAGACGACATCCGCAAATAACCAAGCATCTTTGAATCGAAAACACAATAAAATAAGCTTAATCGTGAAAATATCATAATAATTGATAAGAAAATACCGCAACTTATTACAAAATCCCCCAAAATCCGAGTGTCACTGAGTACATGAGCATCTAAATGACAATACGGTCTAACTGCTAAAAATAATTGTCTAGAAGGATAGAACAGTGCAAATAAACTGAAAAGAAGGAGCGTCGAGGTTTGTGAACACCAAGGCAGCTACCTCAATAGTCTCCAAGCAACTGATGCTCCAATATAGCACCCGCCGTGTCCAGAAGTACCTAGATCTGCACACGAAGTGCACAACCGACCCTATGTACTCAATAAGTAACATGACTACCCTTGGGCTGAAAGTAGTGATGAACTCAGAAAGGTACAGTCCAAATCTAGATTATAACAGTACAGGTATGACAGAAAATATGACAGTAATATCTCAGAGAAACTCATAATCAGTTGGTACACAATACAGGAATGTAGACATGCTTTCAAGTTTAACAGTGTAAACTTAATACAAATAAAATATGCCAAGTATGACTGATATGAGGAATATTATATCTCTATATCTACATGTCAATGTGCAAGTCACATATGATGCATCACAATGATAACCTCACGTATTCCCACTCTCAGAGTACTCAATTTGACTATCTCAACTATCACTCATCACACTCAATCACTCAGCACTCACTGCTGAGTGAGTGCTGGTATGTCAGACTCCGGAGGGGTGGATCTTACCCAAGCGCTAATATAAAGACAATCAGACCTGCTGCGGCGTGCAACCCAATCCCATAATAAATAAAGCATATAAGGTCTGCTGCGGCATGCAGCCCGATCCCAGAATAATTGAAACCCCAAATACGAATACCAAATATCCAGTGAATAATAATAATAATAATAATAATAATAATAATAATAAAAGAAAAAAACCCCAATGGCCCCTCCTATGGGTCAAGCTTGCTACAGTTCAAAAGAAAGTCTTTGGACTTAATCTTTTTTCTCTAAAAAACTCTTCCACGCGCATGACTCCAAATAAAATGCGCGAATGGATTTGGTCTATAGGCTTTTAGGGTACGTGCGCACATACCGCATGTAATGGAGTCCGGAACCAAAATATGATTATTTTGGAGTCAAAGAACCAAAATCTATGGAAAAATAACTAGTGACCATAATATATATAACGCCCTTTTAAAAGGCGCTATACTTTAACCACTGTTTGCCTAGTTAAGTATAACGCCCTTTTAAAAGGCGCTATATATATAACTCCCTAACTTACAACGCTATATCTATTATGTGGACCCACCAGTAATTCTTCTAGGCTTAACTGACATAACAATAATTCAATTGGGTATAGCGTCCATATTTAAGGCGCTATACCTCAAATAATTGTACCCCCGGACTGGTTTTTGCCTTATTTAAAGAGGTTAAGGAATTATTAAAAATCCATTCATAAATATTTTCAAGTCTTCTGAAATATTTCTTCGTTTACAACATACATTTAAAAAAATGCCACTAACATTTAGTAAGTGGTTCAAAAAGAGGCAGAAGGGTGAAGGTAGTTCAACAGATCCCCATGGAACACGTCTTAACACTATCAATCCCTACCTTGAAAGAAATATGCTAGGTTGCTATACTGACTTTGTTGATGACAAGTGGTATGGTGTTCTGCGTCCCTTGAAAAATAAGCCTATTAATATACACACTGATCTCAAATTTGCAGGGCACATTATTGAGGGCGAAGCGCATTCTACAAAGCCTGGAGGTATGCGAATTTGGGGCGAAAAACTACAGTGGGTTCCTCTTTATTCAAAATGATGTGATTACGAAGTACTATGTCACTCGTATGGGCTTGTTGTGCCATAAGCACTGTTTGCAACCTTCCTAACAAACACACATAAAGATGAACCAGAAGTGATTCGGTATTTGATGAAGGAGATTCTAGAGATGGAAAAGGCACTAGTTGTTCATCATGCAATGGATGATCTTAACTTCCTGGGAGGAACGGAGGATCAGTACTGAGATTTGTTAGAAAATGAAAAATTGCGTAGAGACGATGATTATCCTGTTTTCCCAACAGTTGTCGAGTGGGAGGGACTACCTAAGTTTCTACCACAAACGTTAGACATTGGAGTCCCATATTGTTGTAAAAATCAAGCAAGTGGTCTTATTGATGATAGCGATGAAATACGAGAAATGTGTGTCAATTGGGGTCTAGATTACGATGTCCTCGGTCCTGAAGGATGCGTACACGATGTTGACAAAGAAGATGAAGACAGTGACAATGAAATAGTGTCAGACAACGACGATAATGGTGAATGACAATTTGTTTTTTCTTGGGGTGTATGTTAAATTATTGTACTGAAGTATTAATGCTAAATATCAATAAGACTTAACACCAATGGAAACATAATTTTATTTCATACATTCTGCAAGATAAACATGTACATACATTTATTACAACAAATTACAGAAACAAAACACTACGTGTACCCTTGATAATTGGGCACATTGGATTAACTTCCACCAGAAGTTGTATTACCACCGCTACCCAAACCAGCTGAAGGACATTTGCGACGGTCGTGTCCTGTTTTCATTAATGACGATGCACCTCTAGCCCTTTCAACAAACCTCTCCGCTATCTTCTTGAATGGCATCCACACCGTGGTAGTGACGGGCAATCCACGAGCAGACTTCAATAACCCACTGAAAGACTCTGACACATTTGTAGTCAGAATTCCCCATCTTCTGCCACCATCCACATGCAAAGTCCACTTGTCAAGCTCATGTCGCATCAACCAACAATAAGCTTCTTCGTCTTCCTTCCTGATCGATTCCATGCGACTCCTGAATTTACGCTTTTGGTGATCTATTGTAGCCATCCACATTAAATCATGCAAATCCTTGTTGGGATGTGCCTTCTGGAAATTGGCCTTCAGGTGCCTCACATAGTAACGCTGGTAGGCATACGGTTCCTGCCACAGGCAAATTCTGTATAAAACTTAAAATACCTCCATGCCGATCAGATATTAGACAAATACCTGAATGTTGTCTGACAACGTGCTCCTTCAAGTGGTTGAAAAATAGTGTCCACGTATCTTGGCTTTTATTGCACAAATAGCAAAAGCTAGGGGAAATATACTTCCATTAGCATCTACTACAATGACGATCAACAACTTAATATCATACTTTCCATAGACATGAGTGCCGTCTATGGATATAACCGGCCGGCAATGCATAAAACCATCAATTGCTGGTTTAAATGCCCAGAACACATATATGAATATATGTTCTGGTATTCCCGGACTCCGCTCAAGCTTCCATTCAACAGCAGTCCCGGGGTTAAAGTGTTGCAATGCGGCCATGTACCTGGGTAGAGATGCAAAGGACTTATCCCAGCTACCATAAACAATTTCAAAGGCATGTTTGCGCCCGAGAAATGCCTTTCTTTTGGTAATGGTACACCCATATTTCTGGTAGATAGATGTTATACACTCTTTGATCTTGTACCTTATGGACGATTCAATATGTGGAATCAAGACAAGAAAAATCAAGTCAACATTCAAGTTAAAATGATTCCCACTGAATGTGTCCATTTCACAATTGTGGGTGCCAATGTATTTACCCACAACCCACAAATTTTTTTCTTCTTCCTGTCACGCAGCATCTAATTACAACCCGTAAACCATCTACGACAAATAACCTTGTATATATCTGGAGATGACTCTACTACCGTGATCTCACGACACTCATTTATGTTGTACATTCGCACTACCCTGCTTAGGTGCGTTTTATCAGGAAAAAGCATGCCCTTTGACAGCGTCGTTGCTCTATATTCATCCCACATTGTTGTCCGAATTTCGTCAATATCCCTTGTGAGGGCATCCACATCCGGCATACTTGGAAAATGATCAAGGTAAGGAATCTTCCTTGAATGAAATGGCATGTGGGACTCGTACACTCTTGGTCTAACGGGAGGTGGAGCATGCTCCCTCGTTAAATTAGGTTCAACATTCTCTTCCTCCTCATCATCACCCTCATCGGGGAAGGGTGTGTCATCTCCAGGCTAATCGACATTGTTGTCATAATCACTATTCTCTTCCTGACTCTGCGCATCTGCAAGATCCCGATTAAATATGTCAACTTCGTGTAATTGAGTAAGGACAGGACCTTCAAGTTGCTCGTTTTCACTCCACAACCAACAAAATAATGAGTTACTCAAATTGATCCAAACTTTACATATAGCTTTATCACTTCACTTATAAATCATAATGTGTTGATATCCCATGATGGACATTATCCTATTGATGATGACTCCAAGATGGACCACCATGATCCAATACACCAAAACTAGGCATATTCCAAGTGGGTGTTCGTCATAACTTATAAAATTCATATCTGGCCGGTACCCCATGTGGATATATGAGTGTTAATACAAATTCAATACATAAAAATAAACATCTTAACACAAAGAAAAATTTAAGTTTACCAATCGACTTGTGGATTATGTAAACTAGGTAAGAAATTATTTCCTCGCTCCTCATTCGCCCATGGAGATAAAATTAGATCAGGCCAAACTCTTTCACCCGGAACCTGTTTGGCTAAAACTGCTCCAAAATAATCACCCGACGATTGAGGGATATCCCTACTTTCCGCAACCTCATTATTGCGAACGTCTTCAGCCTTGACGTATATTTCCAACATTGTTATCACAAGAAATTCCCGGTATTC